TCGTCCTCACCCTCAACAACTTCTCTTTCAATTCCTCCCACTTCCTACAGACAAAGGGGGTGGCCATGGGTCCCCGCATGGGCCCAAGCTATGCCTGCCTCTTTGTAGGTTACGTGGAACAATCCCTCTTCCGTACCTACACTGGCCCTAAACCCCACCTCTTCCTCCGTTACATTGATGACTGTATCGGCGCCGCCTCGTGCTCCCACAAGGAGCTCGAACAGTTAATCCACTTCACCAACACCTTCCACCCCAACCTTAAGTTTACCTGGACTGTCTCTAATACCTCTCTCTCCTTCCTGGACCTCTCTGTCTCCATCTCGGGCAACCACCTAGAAACTGATATCCATTTCAAGCCCACCGACTCCCACAGCTACCTGGAATACACCCCCTCCCACCCACCTTCCTGCAAAAATGCCATCCCCTATTCCCAATTCCTTCGCCTCCGCCACATCTGCTCCCAGGATGAGGCATTCCACTCCCGTACATCTCAGTTGTCCTCGTTTTTCAAGGACCGCAACTTCCCCCCCTCAGTGGTCGAGAATGCCCTCAACCGTGTCTCCCACATTTCCCGCAACTCATCCCTCACACCCCGTCCCCGCAATAAGAACCAAAAAAGAATCCCCCTCGTCCTCACGTACCACCCCACCAACCTCCGGATCCAACGCATCATCCTCCGACACTTCCGCCATCTGCAATCCAACCCCACCACCAAAGACATCTTTCCCTCCCCACCCTTATCTGCTTTCCGGAGGGACCACTCTCTCCGTGACTCCCTTGTCCGCTCCACACTCCCCTCCAGCCCCACCACACCCGGCACTTTTCCCTGCAACCGCAGGAAGTGCTACACCTGCCCCCATACCTCCTCCCTCATCCCCATCCCAGGCCCCAAGAAGACTTTCCACATCAAGCAGATGTTCACCTGCACATCGGCCAATGTGGTGTACTGCATCCGCTGTACCCGTTGTGGCCTCCTCTACATCGGGGAAACCAAGCGGAGGCTCGGGGACCGCTTTGCAGAACACCTACGCTCAGTTCGCAACAAACAACTGCACCTCCCAGTCGCAAACCATTTCAACTCCCCCTCCCATTCCTCAGATGACATGTCCATCCTGGGCCTCCTGCAGTGCCACAACGATGCCACCCGAAGGTTGCAGGAACAGCAACTCATATTCCACTTGGGAACCCTGCAGCCCAATGGTATCAATGTGGATTTTACAAGTTTCAAAATCTCCCCTCCCCCTACCGCATCCCAAAACCAGTCCAGCTCGTCCCCGCCTCCCTAACCTGTTCTTCCTCCCACCTATCCCCCCCTCCCACCTCAAGCCGCACCCCCATCTCCTATCTACTAACTTCATCCTGCCGCCTGACCTGTCCATCCTCCCTGGACTGACCTATTCCCTCCCTATCTCCCCACCTACACTCACCTTTACTGGCCCCATCCCCGCCTCTTCGACCTGTCTGTTTCCTCTCCACCTATCCTCTCCTCTATCCGTCTTGTATCCGCCTCCCCCTCTCTCCCTATTTATTTCAGAAACCCCTTCCCCTCCCTCATTTCTGATGAAGGGTCTCGGCCCGAAACGTCAGCCTTTCTGCTCCTATGCTGCTTGGCCTGCTGTGTTCATCAAGCTCTGCACCTTATTGCCTTCATTACCACCTTCTGTTTTCTACCTTCGAGCCAGTTCTGTATTCAAATGGATTCCATGTGATCTAACTTTGCTGACCAGTCTCCCATGAGGAACCTTGTCGAACGCCTTACTGAATTCCGTATAGATCACGTCCACTCCTCTGGCTTTATCAATCCTCTTCACTACTTTTTCAAAAAACTCAATCAAGTTAGTGAGACACCATTACCCACGCACAAAGGCATGTTAACTATCCATAATCAGTCCTCGCCTTTCAAAAAACATGTAAATCCTGTCCCTCAGGATTCCCTCCAAAAACTTGCCCTTGACTGATGTCAGGCTCACCAGTCTACCATTCCCTGGCTGTTCCTTACCACCTTTCTTAAATAGTAGCACCAAGTTAGCCAACCTCCAGTCTTCCAGCACCTCACCTGTGGCTATCAATGATAGAAATTTCTCAGCAATGGGCCGAGCAATCACTTCCCTAGCTTCCCACAAGGTTCTGGGGTACACCTGATCAAGTCCCAGGGATTTATCCACCCTCATGTTTTAAGATGTCCAGCATCTCCTCCTCTGTAATATCTTCCACAACAGTAAACATTCTTTTCATAGCTAGCCTGTTGAGAACCCTCAGGATCTTAAATGTTTCAATCATGTCTTCTGAACTCTAATGGATACAAGCCCAGCTTGTCCAACCTTTCCTCATAAAACAACACATCCATCCAGTATTCTAATGCATTTGTACCTTTTTTTAAATTAGGACAACAATACTGAGAACAATACTCTGGAGGTGGTCTCCCCAGTGCCAAGCAGTGCCCCAAGACAATCCATTCCTCCTGAGGTGCTACCATGACATGTTCAGTTTATATCTCTTCAAATAATGAAAAGTCCATGACCACTTGCAGCAAGATCTGGCCAAAATTCAGCTTGGGCTCATTAGAGATAATAACATCCATATATATCTGCCAGTTTGAACCATACCACATAAAGTCAGGAAACAGCTTAATGCACAGAATCGTGCAAGGTTCTTGACTGTAAAAGCTCGTAGCTATAACGTGGAAGATGTGTTGACCAGAGCTACAACACTGGCACTTAGCCAACGATAAGGATAATTGTCCAGGTTTGTCCTGTCCCCAAAAGGTTGGTCAAATCCAATTCAGTTAATTCTTCAATCAGTCTACTCTCAAACATCAGCAAAATTTTGTACAAGGTGTCATTGGCAGCACTACCGAGCAGCATTTAACCAGCAGCAATCGGTTCAACAGTGCTCAGTTTTGGTTTCATCAAGGTCATTCAACTCCAAACCTCATAACAACTTTCTTCCAAATATGAACAGGAGTTGAATTAAAAGAAATGTGCTGAGAGGCAACTGGCTTTGAGATGAAGACAGATTTTTTTTAAACCATATTTGGCATCAAGAATCCCAGTAAAACTAAGGCCAATTATATTCAAGGGGAGGGTTGGAGCAATCCTCTAGGTCAGAGATATGTATGTACAAAGGAAGGTGGCTTTGGTGGTTAGAGGGCTATCATGTTAGTGCTGGGACATAATTGCAGGGGTTTCTCACAGCAGTGTCCTAGACCTGACAACTTCACTTGCTGCATCTATGGCCTTCCCTCCATTCTAAGATCAGATGTGGCATTGTTTACTGTTGTTTACACATTGTTCAGTTTATATCTCTTCAAATAGTGAAAAGTCCATGACCACTTGCAGCAAGATCTGGCCAAAATTCAGCTTGGGCTCATTAGAGATAATAACATCCATATATATCTGCCAGACACCTCCCCTACTCATTCTACAGCATTGCCATCATTGAATGACCTTCACCCCCAACTTCCTGAGGGTCACCACTGGCCAGTGTTCAACTGCTCTCTTATGGTTTCCTAATGCTATGTAGCCATATGCCACCTAATGTCATTTTCTTTCAAGACTACTCCTGTCTATCTACGAACTTTTCTTCAAATTATCCCTTACTTCCATGAAAGTGGGCAAGAGATGAAGCTGACTGCACAGGTAAACTAAATTATGTAGCAATCAGGGAGAGTAGCATAGAATTTTCATGCTAATTTGAATTAACCATGGTACTCAAACTTTTTCACAAATGTTCCATTGTTTTTTTTTGTAATAAAAGCACAACCCAACTTAATCCAATACCTCAAACATAGACTTTGATCAATATAAATACCATAAGATCTATTAATATTGCTAAAAGTGCTCCATGTAACTTGTCTTTTATAATACCAATTTCAACAAACTTCAGAAACAGGCAAATGGACTGTAATAATCCCTCCCAACCCCCTAAGCTACCTTGTCCCTAGGCATGAAACATGGACAATTTGGCTCTATCCAACTCACACAAATTCTTGGAAAAAAAGTGAACTACCAATAAATCAAGCACCAACAAGAAAATCTCAGGGAAATTTCTCCCTCAGAGATAATCAACTAAACTTGAGCAGTTGCATTCCCATGAGTCAGTAAAAGAAATTAATAACTTTCAAAAAGAATGTAAAAAAATCTATCTTTAATCTTATTCTTTTAACATCTATCTTATTCTCTGACAGATACTTATCCAAATGCTTTTAAATAAATTCACTCAGCAGTACACAACAGGTACT